TGGAAGGGTCGGGGGTTCAGTCATGTGTCTGGATGGATTCGCTCTCGCTTGTCTATCGCCCTCGCGCGTGCGACTAGCTTCTGTCTGCGTGGGGGAGGGAGGGGAGGGTTTGCGGGACTGGGGTGTGCTGATGGGGCGGGGATTGATCCCTCCTCTCCTTGAGCCTGTTTGAGTCTGCGTGCTGATGGGACTGTATTTGTATGAGTATCACGGACACACAGACGAGTGTTACGGTTAATGACAGTTTCCACTATGGATGGATGCCAGATAAATGCGTTGCTCTGTGTGTGTGTGTGTGGCACCTTGGCGATGATGTCTGCCTGTTGGATCGTGTGCTGCTTGGACGCCACTTGCGCGCCCCAGAGCATGTAGTCGCTGTCGCTGAACCCTGCCGACTCCCCCGCACTCGTCTCGACGACGACCTCGAACCCCATCCGACGCAACTGCGGCACGGACTTGGGAACTGCACGCACACACCAACACACAGCATGCGCACATTGACACACGACATATCCTTCCCCTCCCCTCGTTCGTTCTCTCTGTTTGTCTGGCAGGCATGCTTACATACCGATGGCCACCATTTTGGTCGCGGTCTCCTTGACGACGCCCACCTTCATGCGCGGCGCGGGCATGATGGTCTGCTGCGCCTGCTGCTCGCGCTCCTCCTGCTGCTCCCGCTCACGGACGAGTGTTGCGGCCCAGTCGACCTGCGCGCCGGGTCGACGGCGGTCCGGGCGGCAGGGGCGGGTACATGTAGCTGTCATCCTCGTCACTCGTCAACTCAATCGGCGGATACTGCATCACACACACACACATGCAGAGAAGAGGGGCAGAGTGAGTGAGGAGCAATGGCCTGTCTGTGTGTGTCTTTGTGTCTGCTGGCACGGCTCACGTCGTCTGTGTCTGTGTTGTGGTCTCGCGTGGGTGAGTCATGGCGGCTCAACGACTGCTGCGGTGTGTCATTGTGACGCGAAGACGAGGGTGCAGCAGACTCAACACGAGCTGCACACGCCAAGCAGAAGCAACACAAACAATTGTCAAACAAACAACACAAATGGGTTATGTTCGCGTGTGAGTGAGTGAGTGTCGGCCTCCCTCTTGGTGCTTACGGGCAGCGACTTTGCAGACGAAGTTTTTGAAGAACTCCATGGTGTCTGCGTCAGGCAGCCTCACGTTGTAGGGCGTGTCTGCATCGGGCGGGTCCGTCAATCCCATCTGCCGAGCCGCCTCACGGTTCCACCGCAGGGTGAGGGACCGATGCCCGCCGGTGCCGCCGCCACTGTCAGCCATGGTCAACGGTAGCAAGTGATCAATGAGAGAGAGGAAATGACCAAACGAGCCGAACAGGCACGAAACCGAGCCAAAAGTGATTTGAAAGCTGGCCGCGAAATTCGAGAAACCCTAACCCTAGTGATCGAACCCAACGGGACTGTGTACTCAACCGCAAGTGCTTTGTGCTGCCGTGTGCCTCCCCAGCACCACCAGCGCACAAAATCGTCTTGTGATTCACCTGTTCTCTGACGGTCTGACCGGTACCGCATGGAGGCGCCATCCCCGGCGAGCAGCAAGGCCACAGGAGGCAGCATGAGTGGCGGCGTGACGCAGATCAACGTCGGCGGCTATGTCATTGCGTTCCCGAGTGGCGTGCTGCTGCGCGAGGGGCTGAGGCGCACGTGTGTGGCGGTGCTGCTGCACCGGTTCGACGAGTGGATGCTCAATGATGCCGACGGGACGATCTTCATCGACGCAGACCCACTCTACTTCATATGGTGAGGGACGATGGGAGCATGCAGCCAATGACACAGATTGACTCACTGCCCTGTGTTTGTGTGTGTGTCAGGTTGTGTGAGAAGCTGACCCGTTTGATGCATGGGTGGGTCGACGAGATCAAGATCTTCGACGCCGTGCAGCCCATCCCCTTCTACCACGGCATATTCTTCGCCGAGTCGCCCATCGCCATCGACAGACCGCACAGGTACAGCGAGAGCCAATCGGCATTCCGCAGTTTCATTGACAAGATGGGCGTCTTCATCAAGTCGTCGGCCGTCCGGGGAGGCAGGGGAGGGGCGGAGGTGCTCAGTGTGAGTGTGGACGGCCGCACAGTGGCGACCACCGATGCCACTCTGGCCGACTTCGACACACTCAACGACCGATTCACCAAGTGAGAAGACGGCGCAGACAGGGGGGAAGGGGGAAGGATGATTTGGTGATGATTGGCTCTCCTTCTCCCCTGTGTCGCGTGTCCAGGTATGGTCGCACTCCCGTTGTCGATGTGTCTGCACACCACTTCGACTCGTAGGCACCCAGACAACCACCAGAGGCAACAAAAGAGCTCATCTATTCGTCTGTTGGTGTCTTCAGGATCGTCGACTTCGCTCGTCGGTGTCGCCTCTCCCCCGATGGCGCCGTTGTCCCGCCGCCCTCGTGTGCCGACCAGGATGAGCTGGTGCGTGTGAGTGAGATGTACGGCGTCCTCGGGGCCATGTACCCCAACATCCTCGCCAACGACGTCATGCAGACCCTCCTCGAGATGCTCGGCAAGGAGGAGCCAAAGAAACTCTGCCTCTTCAAGTGAGAGCAGACAAACGAAGGGCCATAGCGCCATGCTACATGCATTCGTCGGCACGTCTGGCTGTGTCAGGAGTTCGCTGCACGGTTCGTCGTATGCAAGTTTGGTGCAGCGTGTGGTGGGGCGGCGCGGCCTCCTGTTCGTCGTCAAGTGCAATGCCACCAACACCATCGCAGTCTTCGCCGACACCAAGCTGCACCTGCCAGCCGACCCCACATCTCAGCTGCTGTTCGACTGCCCCGTGTCGCTCTTCTCGGTGTGCGGTGCGTTCGAAGAGGGCATCACCAAGATCGACGTGCCACAGGACCAGCAGTCTGTGTGGGTGGCGGGCACCAAGGGGGCGGTGACGAACGAGAACGGTGTGCCACATGGCAAGGTGGCCATCGCTGGCGGCCGCCTGTGGCTGGGATTTGGCGAGCACGGCCCAAGTGACGACCTTCTCAACTGTCATCAGTGGGTGTGGAAGGAGGAGCTGCCGGCCAACAGGAAATTTGTGGGCAAGACCATCACCAGCAACCACGCGAGCCTCTGTGGTGCTGAGACCTGCAACTTCACCGTCCAGCGGATGGAGGTTTTCCAGGTCAGTCAGCCAGGCATCAACCAGAGAGCACACAAGTGGCCGGGGACATCATGAGATCCTTCTTCTCTCTCTCTGTGCAGGTGTGAAGTGCTGTGCCGGCGGACCCCATCCTGCCTGAGGCTGACCTGCGGGCACTCGTCGACGTCACCGGCATGACGGATGCGACGCCACAACTACTCTACAAGTGAGCACCTGATGACGGGGAAGCTGTTGGTGACTGTCGTGAATCATGTCCCCTTGCTGCCTTGGTGCCTCTGTGTGTGTGTGTTCCCGGGGTGAGTGTGACGGCTGGGAGCAGGAGGTCATGATCAAGAATGTGGGCGACGCCACCGACCTCCTGCTGCTCCTCAAAGACCCCAGCGGCCCCATCATCGCCGCCCACATCGAGGGCGGACTCTCTCCGCCCGCCGACCCCACTCAAGTGGCGACGACCCCCTGTGCTGTGTCGCTGTTTTCGGTGTGCGGTGCCTTCGAGGGCGACGGCATCACCAAGATCGACCTGCCCAAGAAGGAGCAGGACGTGACGGTGGCGGGCACACAGGGGGCGGTCAAGGACAAGAGCGGTGAGGCACGCGCCATGGTGTGCATCGGTGACATAACCGACGATTCTCCTGGCCGCCTGTGGCTGGGGATTGACGTGGACGGCCCGGCAGGCGATGTTCGCAGCTGCCAGCAGTGGGTGAAGAAGAAGGAGCTGCCGGCCGACAAGAAGTACATCGGGACCATCGACAACAAGGGCCACGCCATGCTGGCCTCCAGCTTCAACTTCACGGCTGCCGATTTGGAGATCTACACACTGCAGTGCAGGAAGAGAAAGAAGACAGACACACCATGAGTGATGCGTCCTTCTCGCCGGCGCCGTCTCGCCCCTCTCTCTCTCTCTCTCTGTCCTGCCGGCAGTGGGTGAGTGCCGTCGCATCCACGATGACGAACTCACAGTCGACGTGACAGCTGCTGAGAGAGACAGGCAAACATTTTTGTATGTGAGAGCGAGGCGTGTCTGAGGTGCATTGACATGTCGCATGGCCGAGGGTGTGTGTGTATCGAAGGGGCGACTCGAATTTGGCTGTCGGTGTGTGCGCAGTGTTTGTTTTGGCCACATGGGGGTGGCGGGTGCATTTAAGCCATCGAAGAGGAATCTATCCATCTAAGTCTGTGTGTGTCTTCATGTCCATAGCGAGCCGATGGAACCCCTCCCTTTATCGACGGACTTCCATGTGCGTGTTGTGTTGCATGCGATGCGTCCGATGTGTGTGAAGCTGTGCAGACAATACCGACGCACTCTCATCTCTTATTCCTTTGACACACACGGTCGGTCCATCACACACAGAGGCATGTCACGTCGCTCGGAAGTCATGACCCATCCACCCACACAGCCAATCACAAGCGGCGGACAGGCAGCAGGCTCACACAGAGATGTCTGTCTGCCTGGGTCGGTGTCATCACCATGGCTCAGCAGCCATCAGTCAGTCACTCGTCGGGGATGTCCCACTCGCCGCTGTCGATCTCCGCCTGAGGCACACAAGGGGCAACAGAACACGACATGAGGCCGGCCACGCTCATTTCATTCTGTCTCTCTACTCGACTATCATCACACCTACCTGTAGTTGTGTGGGCTTCTTGCCGTCGACAGTGCAACCAACAGCGTTGCTGACACACAAAACAGAACAAAACAGCCGTCCATCGGCGGCCCTTGTGTGTGTGTGTGTGGTTGGTTACGCAGTTCCGAGCATTTCCTTGACGGTGCCCTTGAACTCCTTGGCCATGGACTTGAAACGCATCTCGCGGGCTATCCTCATAATGGCATCCTTCGAGATGTTGCCGCTGTGCTTGACTGAACCATTCATTCACAGCAATCCAACACACACACCAATACGGCGCGGCGCCATGAAGCCCCCCACCGCCCACCCAGCCCTCTGGTTTGGTGTGGTTAGCTCCTTACTGTTTTTGACTTTCTTTCTGTCCCTTGGCGGCTCCTTGAGCTCCTTGATGATGAGTGTGGTGGCGTTGGGGACGACGTCCACCTTGGCCTGCCGGTTCTGGATCGTCAGCTTCACTGTCACGCGAAGACCCTTCCACGCCTGAGTCGACTTGGCGATGTCGTCACCTATCTTCTTGGGCGACTGCACACACACAGAGGGACAGCAACCAGCAGCTTGTGATCTCGTGTGTGCCTCAGATCTACACTCCGCTGGACTCCCTGGCTCTCTGCCATCCACCTTGCAGGCCGTCAGGCCTCCTGACTGACGTCATGGCGGCTTACCATTCCGAGAGGGCCGACTTTGGGAGCAAGGACGGACGACGCACCCACCTCTCCGCCAACCTGGCGGAGATACACTGCACACACAGACACACAAAGCAGCAGAAACAGACAGTCCACATCTCCTGGCTGCCTCAGGTGGCAGATCAGCGTGCCGCGTACCAACTTTGACCTCATTCGGGTCAAACTTCGGCGCCATTGTGTCCTGGCGAGGCCAAACGAGCAAGATAACGCACCACAGAGGATGGCAGCTCCAAGCTCGCAATCTGGTGCGATCGTGTTCGAATGAAAAAGCGGTCTGCCTCTGCCTGTGTGGACTCAACTATGACCTCCACGACAGACGAGGCGTCCGATTACACGTCGGCGTCGGCGTCGGCATCAGATGTGCCGACGTCGTCAACAACCAGCCGCACGCCACTCAAGGGTGTGGCGAGGCTGCGCTGGCGGCGTCCTCGACTGCGTCGTAAGAAGGGCGAGCAGTTCTACACCGACTGGGTGGTGGTCTGCTTCGCCATCGCTCTTGCTGTGTTCTCTGTCCTGGTGGGCTTCGCCCCGGCCTGCTTGCTGCTGTACCAGTCAAGACACAAACCTTACAACACGTCAGTCAGAGAGAAGGAGGGAGGGCGCAGGCAGGGCAAGGAAGGCGATGCGAGAAAGAAGCGGACGGCACTGCACTGGTTGGTGTGGGTGGGTGTGTATATGCTGCTGCTGCTGCGTGCAGTGATCCGTTGGCGTCGTGTGGGATAGCTCACTGGGAGAATGTGACTGTCGTCAGCGTTAGGAGCCCTGAAGTCGATGAGGCCATCAATCTGGCCGGTGAGTGAGCAACATGCTTGGGCGCACGTGCATGTGATGTGATACCTCTCTGCTCTCTGCTCTCTTTGATCAGGGTGGTATTTTATGTCGCCGAATGCCCCTCTGGAAGGTCCGAAGGCGTGTGTGGCGGTGATCCACGGCCATGGGCAGAACATGGCCCGTGACCTCTGGAGCAGCAACAAAAGGACACGCACAAAGTCAGTCCTGTCCAAGGCAGTCGCGCCGCTGTGGCAGGTACGGTACCTATTGCAAATGCACCCACCGTCTTGTGCGCTAATCCATCCATTTAACCATTTTGTGTGCAGGCCGGCTTCCACGTGTTGACGGTCGACATGCGCAACCACGGCCGCAGCGGCGACACGCCATATGTGTCTTTGGGCTTCGAGGAGAGCCACGACGTCACGGCCGCTGTCAGGTTCCTCGCCCGAGAGAAACAGTGTGAGAACATTGGCATCTTTGGCGAGTCGATGGGCGGCGTGGCCTCCCTCTTCGCGACGGCACACAACTTCCCCAGGAACCCTCACGGAGATCGAGTCAAGTAAGAGGCAGCGAGGGAGGGAGGGAGGGAGGGAGGGAAGGGTGGCCGCCTGTTGTCATGGTTGCTGGTTGGCTGATGTGCAGGGCGCTGGTGGTTGATTCGCCATTCGCCTTGGCCCAGTGGGCCTTCGAAAGCTGGTTCACTCTCAAGGTAGGAAAGCACGGCACATCACATAAACAGAGAGATGACCGAAACGCGACGGTTCCCGTGGATGTGGATGCTGTCTGCCATGCCATGTCGTGTGCGTCAGTTTGGTTCGTGGGTGCCGCCGGTGTTGCTGCAGTACATCTGGTTCTGGATCGGCGTCGTGGCGCCATTCGACGTGGACGCCGTCAACACACTGCACATCATTTCCAACATCAAGGTTGGTACTCACACGTATTATGACCATTCAGTCCATCCACCATCCATTCACACGATCCCATGTCTGTCTGGCTGCCTGTGGTTCATTTTTCCACGCAGATCCCGCTGCATCATGCCCACGGCCGGACGGACCTGTTGGTGCCCTTTTCGCATGCCGAGGTCATCCACCAGGCCGTCATGCGCAACAGGACACAAACACCGCCCGCAGAACAACAGAACCTCGCACCATACCAGGTACAAAGCAGCCGCCCACACACACCACACCATACAGACAGACCCAGTGTGCATTGCATTCTCTCCCCTCCCTTGCTGTGTCTGTCTCACTCACTCTATTCTCTATTAGACGTTCTGGCACGAGCAGGCTCACGTGCAGGCCTATCGCGTCCCCCGGTACCACCCCGAGATCGTCGACTTCTTCGGCAGGCACCTCCTGCCGTCGGCCCAGTCGGCGCAGCCCCTCTCAGAGAAGCTGCGGTGGTCCAACTACACCAACCCCCTCACCGTCAACGACAACGACGTCTACCACGTCGAGTCGCACCACGACACACATGAGACCCCCGAGCTGTCGCCGGGTCTGCCGGCCATCCCCCTGCCGGCGAGGGAGCCGTCAGTGCCCTTCATCCCAACGGGCAGGCAGTCCATCGCCACTGAGAAGCTGCTCAGGCGAGCGCCCGTGCAGGTGGCGGTTGTGCAGTGAGAGTCTGGGTGAGATTGGTTGGCGTTTTTTCGTCGATCTGTCAGTCGGGTGTATATGGGTGTGTATGGGGTGGGCGTGTTGGGGTGGGTGGGGGGCCTCTCTCTGCTGTACAGGGGAGGAGAGAGGAAGGGAGAAAGGGATGGGACAATGCGTGTGTTGGTCCACGACACACGCGGGGGAGGGAGGGAGGGGAGGGTTCATTCGTGCTGGCTGACTGGCTGGCTGGCTGGCTGCTGGATGGCTATGGCGTGTTGGCCAGCCGTGTGCTGGGCTAGTCAGTCTGTCTGTCCGGCGCCCAGTTTGGCGCCCGTCCTCGATCGCTCTCCCCATCTCTGTCTCTGACCACCCGCCACTGTCGCCCACATCATGTTATGAGTGGGTTTTTGCTACGTGGCGTAGGCGTGTCAGCGACAGAGCTAAATTAGAGGGCCAAGTGACTAGCCTGGCGGTGAGGTCAGGTGAGGTCAGGCAGGCGGCCGGATGCTCTCGCGGACGTGCGAAATGCACGTTGAGGTGGTGAGAGCAGCAAGGCAGTCTATGCCCGGCACTGCATGGCATGGGATGGCATGGTCCAGCTCAGCACGCACGGCGTATTTGTTACTACCACTCACTCTCTTGTTCGTGATATTGCTCGTACTGATGTCGATGGCGGCTGGCACTCATTCCCCTCTCTCTGTTGCCGAACGAACTTTCTTTTGAATGAATAGAGAGGCAGAGAGAGGGGGAGGGGAGGGGAGGGAGAGGGATGGGTGTTTTTGGGTGTGAGAGTGGAGAGACCGGATGGGATGGGCGAGGTCTTTGGTGCTTGCTTGCTACCCATGCAGACGGACAGGCAGACAGACCTCCGTTTTATTGCTGCTGCTCATGGCGTCCCTCCCTCCCTCTCTCATTCTGGCTTTGCTTGGGATCCCCCTTCCTGCCTGTAGATTACTCTCAATTCTCCGCCAGCCCATGGATGGATGGATGGATGTGGCTGTATATTGATTACTCTTCCTCTGCCAACGGGCTCTTCCGTTGCCGTTGCCCGTGTGTGCGTGTGAGAGTCCGGAGAAGGTGACTTGATGAATGGATGGACGGACGGATGGCGATGTGAGACGGGTGTGGATACGCACCAGGTGGCTCTCTGAATCTCAGATTGCGACGAGTGAGTGCACAACTATGTTAACACTCATCCATCATCCACGCACACGCACTCACACGAGTCTCCATGCATCCATACAGGCACCACACATAATAGTCAGGCTGGCTGGTCATGATAGAATTACAGAGAGAGCATCGGTGTCAGCATCACGCACGAGCGGGTCATCCATCGTACGATTGATTCAGATCACTTGACTGACGTCCTCCAAAACAGTGGAGAGACGGTATCGCGCGCACACACGCACACGCAGACAGACAGGCACACACAGATACGCAGACAGTTCACGCACAGATGCTCGCACGTCGATGCTGACAAAAAATACACACACCGCTCTCTCACCCAGGCCCTCCCTCCCTCCCTCTCTCCCACCCCATCTCTCAGCCACCCTCATCTGTCTCTCTCCGTGTCAACCAATTCTTCCATCTGTCTGTGTCGCCCGCCTGCACCTCAGCCCTTGCCTCCTGCGTGACCTCCCGGGCAACGAATCATGAGCCAGAGGTGTGCAGCTCTGCCTCTCGATTCATCCCCGCACCGGCAACGCAGGAAACACAAGGACAAAGGACAGGCAGGAGGGAATGCACCAGGAAGGAAAAGGTACGGCATCTGGCTTGAAGCACCATGTGGTCGGCATGTGGTTGATGACCGTTCTTCGCTGCGCTTGTCGCGACGTCCGACACAGAGACTTGCTCACAAGCTCTCCATCGACCGTTACGACAGCGTGGCGAAGAACGTCCACCAACATACAATGCATCAAGAGAAAAGTGCGGCCTTGCTCTGCATGCAGATGCAGTTAAGAGACGTGCCGGCCGCTCGCTGAGGGAAAAAGGGAAAACAGCTGACCCGAAACAGATAGAGCCTCTCTTCTCCCTCCCTCCCTCCCTCCCTCCCTCCCCACCTTTTAACCACCACAATGGCAAGTAGGGGAGAGTCTTACTCCGACAGACACACACACACACACGGCTTCCATCCCATCCCATCCCCCTACACCCATTGCAATCAATGCATTCAGCCACCCCCAAGTCGGTCGCTCATGTAGGGCTTGGCGAAGGGCTTTTGCCGCTCATGAGCCGCAGGGCCATCGCCACGGCAGGGTCCTTGGACTCAAACCGGTGCTTGTCGACCTCGTTGGTCTGGCCCCCTTTGGACGACGAGTGGGAGTGTGAGTGTCTCACGGGGCTGAGCGACCGGTGTGCCCTCTTGTTGTGCCGCTTCTTGGGGTGGTTGTGGCGCTTCCTGTTCTTGTGCCGCTCATGGTGGTCACGGACGTCATCGCTCTCGCTCTCAGAATTGTTGCCGCGGTGCTTCTTGTGATGATGGTGGCCGTGGCCGTGGTGGTGGGAGTTGTGTTTCTTCTTGTGGTGGTTTTTCTTGTTGTGCCGAGAGTGCCGCTCCTCGTCGTGCTCGTCATGAGATGGCCGCCTCCGCTTCTTGCGCCTGGCGGCGTCGCTCTCATCCGATGAGGCGTCGCTCTCGTACCTGTCCACACACCGCCAGGCAGGAGACGACAGATTTGTGCTTCTCTTCGCGTGTGTGTCTGCATGGGGACAAAACACCCCTTGAGCAGCGGGACGAGCAGTACCTGGCCCGCTGCTGCGACGTCACGTCAGATAGCGACCGCACCCTCTTGAGGCCCTCACGCCCCTCCGGAAGCGCATGCTGGTTGCCGTGGCCATGGGCGTGCCGCCCGCTGTGGTTCCCCTTGTTGCCGGCGGCCTCTCTCAGCTCATCTTCGTGGTGGTGGTGATGGTGGTGCTTGTGGTGGTGGTCGGCGGCCTCTCCTTCCCCTCCCTCCCCCTCCCCCTCTCCGCCTGCCGCCTCCTCTGTGTGCTGGCCGGTGAGCTTCCCCGAGGCTTCGTTTTCTTCGAGAGACGAGAGGAAGGCCAGTCTCTTCTCGAGCGGCTCGTTGGAAAAGTGCGCCACCTGCATAGAGTCACGCGAGGCTTCACACCGGCATCAAATTCACCCTCTCGTCATCGTTTCTGCCACTACGCTCTCATCATTTGCGAGCTTAGCGGCGAGCTTCCTTCTGAAATGTGGAGATCTGTTGGCTGACGTGCATATAACACGTCCACTGAGTGGCGTCAAGGTGCACGCAAACAATGAATGAGAGGGAAAGGCCGTCTTCGATGGATGACGTCTGGCGGCAGCTTGAAGCTGACACCGCTGCCTACGCCCTGAGCTGGCCTCGGGTGCCGCACGTCGTCCGCCCAACCGCCCAGGAGTTTCTGCGCGATTATGTCATGAACAACCGCCCGTGCATCCTGCAAGGTGAGAAGGAGAAGGATGGCGTGTTTGATCTGTCCACTCATTGCATCTTATTTGTGCTTGTGTGTGTGAGGCAGGGCTGCTGGATGACACGCCGGCGATGCGGCGGTGGTCCCTGAGCTATCTCAGGAGGACAGCCGGCAACCAACGGGTAGGTGCCCACACACGCGAAAACAAACACCATCGACTGCTGTCTGTCTGTCTGTCCGTCCGTCCGTCCTGTCTGTGTTGCAGGTGACTGTGAATGTCACTCCGTCCGGGGAGGGCGATGCCGTGATTGAGGTGCCACAGGCGGACGCTGACATGCCGCCCCTGCCTCTCTTTGTCAAGCCTGAGGAGCAGACCATGGTACCTAGGCGGATCGGATGAGAGAAGGCCGTGCGATGTGCCATGAGTGGCTCTTTCCCCCATCTGCAGACTGTGAGTGCGTTTCTGGACCACCTGACGAGCGACGCTGCCGACTCGCCTGAGGGAGTGCCCTATCTCTCACAGCAGAACGACAACCTACGGCAAGAGCTGCCCACACTCGGTGAGATACGATCAGCGCACAGCCTGCTGACGCTGTCTGTCGCTAAGTGTGTGGATGGTGTTGGTGTGTGAAGGATAGGCGATGAGGTGCCCAGTTGTCTGCCGCTCGCACGGGGAGCCTTCGGCAACGAACCAGTGAGGGCGAGCAGTGATCAGTGAAACCATGCAGACCTTTTCTGACACGGACGGGCCATTCGTTTGTTGTGTGTGTATGGTCAGGATGCGATCAATCTGTGGATTGGCGATTCGCGAGCTGTCAGTGCCATCCACAAGGACCACTACGAAAACCTATATGGTAAGCTAGCTAAGCTTTTGCGAACCGGTTAGTTACACGTCTGTCACCGGGAAGAAGTCTTCTCTGTGTCTCTGTGTTGATGTGGTTGATGTGTGCCTTCATGCAGCTGTGTTTGAGGGCGAGAAGACCTTCACCCTTCTGCCGCCATCAGACTTCCCCTTCCTGTCAGCACACACAGCAAGACCACCTTCCCGTCTTCCGCTGTTTGCATGCCTGTTCTGCCGCCTGCAGCCACGAAGGCCACTACCGTGAGGCCCGCTTCGTCTCTCGAAGGCGCACCGACAGCGCTGGGTCGAGATCGAGTGACGCGCCGCAGCTGCTGGGGCCGGTGGGGCCGTCCTCGTCGTTCTACGTGCAGCTGGAGGACACACGTCTGCCGTGGATACCGGTCGATCCTGACAGGTGAGCTGACAGACAGACAGACAGACAGACATGAGAGGGCAGCCACAGGACGGCATGCTGGTGTCTCGATCGATCAGGCCCGACTTCACGCGTTATCCGCGGCTGCGTCACGCCCACCCTATTCATTGCTGTGTGAGGGCCGGGGAGGTGCTCTATCTACCAGCACTATGGTCAGCCACAGCAACCGATATACGGGCTGTACAATCCCCTTGTGCGTGTGTGTGCAGGTATCACCGTGTGAGCCAGCCGTCTTTGACGATAGCGGTCAACTACTGGCACGACATGCAGTTCAACCACCTATATGTGTTCCACCAGCTCATCACCAGACTCGCAAGACTGTGCCCACCCTCACTGGCTGATGACGGTGCCGACGATGACGAGCCGCACCAGCGGCACGGCCAGAAAGGCCACCAGACAGAAGGGCAAGGGGTCAGCTGTGGGTAGCAGTCAATATGTGTGTGCGATGTATGTTGTGTTTTCTATTGCACAATTAATTGTCTTGGTTGCGTTGGGTGTGTCGTATGTATTGATTCGGTCCATTTTACGTAGGCCTGGAACGCCGGATGAAGGCAGATTTGTTTCTTTTTTTCATTGCATGTGTCGACAGTGTCGGCGCCAGCAGTCCACCCACATGAATGACTTAGCCAGGCACACTCAACAATGGGAAGAACGCTGCGTGTGATTGTGGGGATACGTGTGATTGTGGGATGATGGTCGATGTCTGCCTGATTACTGTGCTCTTCGCACTGTCTCCGTACTCTTTGTTTGTGAGGAGAGCTGAGCCTTGTAGTGTGAGGAGACGGGAAGGAGAAAGTGACGGGTTGAGCGACAGACTGGATATACTTACTGGCCAAGATGATGTGATGACTAGGGCCTGCGTGTAACAAGACAGGCGGTTGCAACCGCAGAGGAAGAGCGTTTGGGATCGGACGTTCGCACTGGTGGCGAGGGAAGGAGGAAGGACAAGGACGCCAGCAGCTTCGTCGATAGGACCACTGCACGCGGCTGATCGCATCTGCTCTCGAATGTGCTCATTCAACGGAGCGATAATACCTGTCCTGGGGCTCTTCCTCTATCGCGGCAGATCAGATGCTGGTGCGCAACACATTGCCCATCGGGGCACAGAACGCCGACACAAACAGCACACTGTCCGTTGTTCTTGTGTGGCTGTGATTTGTCCAGAATCTAGAGCTGTTGGGATCTGATTGCGCGTAGCGGAGCAGGGGCACCAACGGTGAGTGAGCACCCATATGTGATGACCACACAGCATCCATTGGGTATGTCACGTGGGCCGGGCCGTGTGTGTGTATGCCAGTCGGACCCCGGTAGGTGTTGGTTGGTGGGCTTGCCTGAGGATGTGGAGAGGCAACTGCTGGCCTCCCTCACGGCCGACGACTGCGGCCCCCTCCGAGCCTCATCCAAGAGCGTCGGCTGCCAGCTGGCCAGCGAGGCCTACCTGACGGACCGACTCGACGCTGCCATCCGCGACAAGGGCCTCAGCGGAGTGCTGACGTACCAGAAGCGCTGCGAGACGGTCCTGCTGCTTCTGCTGCAGTGGATCGCGGCCATTGTCAACGTTGTTTCCACTCTCGTTCAAGGTCTCGTGGGCTCGAGCGCTCTCATCATGGGTTATGCCTTTATCCTCTGCGGCACCGCCGCCGTGATCTGGCCACCGATTGACTTTCTGCTGCGGCCGCTGGATGCATTACCGTGGGCTCAGGGGGGCATCAAGCTGCTTATCGAGGGGATCATCAAGCTGCCTGTCTTCCTGCTTACCTTCGTGATGCCGTTCCTCGTGGTTGAAATGGTCGCTGGATTGCTCGGAGAGGCGTCCTTCATCGTTCGAGCGTATAGGCAGTGTTGGGTGGGGTCTGACGACTTAGGTAACCTTCTGCGGTCCGTCGGTCGCTGGAGTGGGTTGCGTGTGGTGCAGTGGATCGGCCTGATATTCCTCGAGTGTGATGTGGCGCTGCTTATCATCGGTGGGATCTGCACCGCCTGGATCTGGTCCAGTGAGGAGATTTCGGCGCAGCTGGGCGAGGGCTTTTCGTTCTGGCCGCTCTGCATCTTATTGTCGGTCTGCTTGGGCAAATGGTGCCTTCTAACCTTAGGTGAGCTGATGTATGTGCTGCTGCTGATCGACGGCAGGGTGGGGTATCTGTTGCGGCTGCTGTACGTCATCGAGAAGGGCGGCTGCTGGGACCGATGTGTGTCTCTCATCCACTACCTCAAGCACAGCCGCCTCCTCCCCTCTCTGCCCATCGTCATCACGGCATATGACCTGCAGCAAGTGGGCGGCCGGGCGGTGTCCAGCTCGCGACCACAGGCGGCCCGTCAGTACTCGCTATTCAGTCACCGCCTGAGTGACAAATCTGCTCGTTTGAGCCGTGTCAAGGGCGAGGACCATCTGGGCGGCTCAGCAGACAGCGATGCGCTGACGTACTTCAGCATCGATTTGGGTGATCCCGACCCGCCGACCAAACGTGAGCAGAGCGGCCGGGAGAGCGAACACACACCCATGGGAGGGATAGCGGAGAGAGGTGGATGTGTGAGTTGTTTGTTTCCTGTCTGCTCTCTGTCTGCAGGTGGCAAGTACGTATTCTCCGCCTTCACGGACATCATCGTCTTCCTGGTCGACAAGCAAGTGACGGTTTTGACCGACCCCCTGCTTTATTTTTCGCTGCGCCCCCACTTGACGCACCCAAGTCGGCTCATCAACCTACCTCCCAGCCAGTACCAGCTCACCCAGGACGCCATGCTGGACTCGGGGCGCCAGTGGAACGGCTGCCGCAAAGCGGTCTACTGGTGGGTCGACGAGGCAAATGTCCTGCGCCATTGGGGGATCTTCATTCTATGTGGGGACAAGGCGGCGGACGAGTTTCTTGTCTGCGTCGACCACCGTCTGGAGATCTGCTCAACAGAGCCCCCTGTGGCTTGGAAGCGCCGCCCAGATGAGCGGTACCCTCGCACAGCCGCACTCATCCGCCAGAAGGTGGTGGCGGCATAGCGGGCGGCCGGCCGGCCACCTCAGAGAGAGAGAGAGGGGGGCAATGAGTGGAGCTGGGTTGGCACCTATAGTGCGACAAGTCTTTCTTTGTACATAAACGGCGCAAAATGGGTGCACCCACGTATGGGGTGCTCTGGTTTGCAAGACAGACATTGCAGCGAATGGTAGCATTAGTCATCTGGATGATCTATTTGAGTAGAGACGGCGGGGCCTAGGGGCGTGTGCATTTCTGCTGTGGTACTCCTTCGTTCGTGTGACTTGTTGTGCATCAATTAATTTTCATTTCATTCTTCCGGTCGCTGGAGCTAGCTGCACAGAGAAGAAACTGTCGGCAAACAGTCCATCCATCCGGCCGCACGGATGCGGTGAGGGACGTCCCGGCTCACAGCTGTGCAGGCAGCCACGGGGCACAGTCGAATTAATCTCAGTCACCGCAGGGCCTCCATCCACCAGATGCCGTTGTGTTGGATCGTAGTCGTGTGGTTCTGACTGATTTATAGCTGCGTTGGCCCCGCTGACTTTGACATTCATTGCCTCCCTCTCCCGTCAGTCAGTGTGCGTGCGTGTGGATGCTGTAAACAATGAATGGCTGGCTTGTCGGCCGCATGGCGCGGCTCCTGCCATTTGGATTGTTTCTGCCAGTACATCGCTTGCTGGGTCGAAGCCGACTTACTTGCCACCGAACCAGCAGCACACCACACAACACAAACACGAGACGCGGACGATCACATCACACACACACACACACACAGAGAGAGAGAGAGAGGGAGACGTGTGCGTGCGGCATGAGAGAGATGACATGAATCGATGTGCATGGTCACTGACTGACCTGATGGTGCATGTGTGTCGTTGTGTAGACAGGCACTGACATGGCGGTCGGAGTCGGTGTGGGCGGCCATATCACTGGCCTGTCGACACTATTCAGCGCGGGGCTGCCTGCCCGGGCTGGAGCAAGGTGCCTGCACGATTAAAGACATCCCACATACAAAGGTGACAGCGATGTGATGATAAGTGGGTGGTCCCCTTTGGCTGCTCGTGTGTTACACTCCACACCTGTCCAGGGGAGGAAGCTGTCTGACTTGGCCAGGGGGTGGTGGGCCTATCGGTGGCAGACAAGGCATAAATCACAGAGACACTCCCACACACAGAGACACACGTGGGTCGGTCAGCCATGTGTCAGTGTGGCCGCCGCGTCTCTGGCCGCTGCCTGTGGATGGACAGCCTTGGGACTGACATGGTGAATTGTTGGCTTAAAGGGTCGCTGTGTGGGCCTGGGGTCTTCTCCATCTCTGCAGTCGGCGCCGCCACTCGCAGATCCACACCACGCTGAATCTGCGTTCGCGTGGCACGTCGGACACGTGAGCAATGACATGCAGGCCGCTGATTTGTTGTTTGTGAGGCGCCGAGGCAGACCGACTTAATGACCGCAAGGAGCCGATTACCTCCTGGCATCCGGCAGGTGAAGAACTAAGCAACCTGCCCACGCACACTATCCTTGCTGCCGGTGGGCCACTGTGCCAGCTGAGCTGACGGCTGGCTCCTGCAGAAAGGCCCCTTTTGCAGCAGCGGACCATGTGAGGCGACACAACGTCAAGGAGTGGAAAGGGATGAATCGAATGGCGTTTTCTCGATTCTTCCCGCCTCCCTGTTTGCTGGCCATCTTAGATCTTCGCAGAAACGTCCGCCTTTCTCTGCTTTTCCCGGCGGTCAAAGCGATCGGAAGCTCGCACTTGCGGCGAGGAAGGAGGAAGAACAAGGACGCCAGCAGCTTCGTTGATAGGACCACTGCACGCGACTGATCGCATCTGCTCTGGAATGTGCTCATCGGACGGAGTGTTGAATTTGGGATGACAAGGGATGAAGGAGAATCCCAAATGGCGCCTACGAAGGGCCCTTCTGATGTTCTTCTCCGCAAACCACAGCGATGCTGGCAGCCATGACGTGGCATTAAGTATTCGGCAGCAAGACGGCGGACGTGGCTATCCCCACTCAGCAGTCAGACGTGGCCTGCGAGTCGGCAGGATGGTCTTCTTGGCGGCGCTTCTCTTCGTCGCCTCTTTGCTTGGCTATCGGCGGTGGCTGGCCCGGCACAATGGGACGACAATGCGCAGCGACTCATCGTCATCAGCATCGCTCAGCAGCAGTCTCGGCATCGCACTCGTTGCATCCGGGAGATCGGCTCAACACGAAGGAGGCCCAGATCGTCACGGTGCTGCAACGGTCGGCTTGTCGCTGCAAGGAGAGGAGCTGTCGTTCGTCGAGGGCTTTGTCACGACCCACAGGGCATCGGAAGGCGACTGGCAGGCCCTCCCCATCCCCTCTGAAGCGGCGAATCGCAAGGGCTATCTGTAC